TTCCATAGATACTAATGGTTATAATGTATAATAAACTTTCCTTGTAACAAACTTTGACAATTAAATCATACCATAATATCTCAAATTTTAAAAAGCATGAATCCTTTAAAAAAGTGTTCAATACTTAAATGGAAACATAAAATTAATATTTTTATCCACAATTCATATAAAAAAGATAAGTTTTTTTTTGAAAACTTGAAATAAATCACTTAACTCAACATTTTTTTTTCATTCTTTTCTTTTTAAATATAACAAATTTATAAAATAAATAACACAAACAAAAAAGAGTTTACAGTTAAGTTCTACTACATATAAATGGAAAATCATGCTTGAATGAGATAGCGTTTATTTTTGCAGTCTAATCATACTTTTAAAAAATTTTAAACTTTTTTATCCAAGCACGGGTCTGAAATGGTTGTCAGGTCTAGGTGCATGGATTTATGATGGTTACCAAGCTCAAGTGCTTGAGTCTAAATCTAAGATACCTGGGTATAAAAAACATGTCTAATTTGATAAATAACAAAAGAAGAGTAAGTGTACATTTTAGTTGTTAGGATATAGAAAAGAAAGAAAAAATACAAATAATTAATTATTGATTGTAATCTAACCATTATCTATCTACACGGCCACAACAATATAAAAAAACATGTTTGTTCATCTAGTGACACAATAAATATCCAGATTTGACTATTAAAAAATATCGGACGCGTCTTATTAATGACACAAGTACTATCCATTCATTGAAAAGAAAAAAAAAATTATAATTCTAAGTTAATTCAATAATTTTTCTACATCATTTAGCCTTTACTGTAATGTGACTAGAAACTGACCCATACGTGCAGACATAGTGATTAAAAACATTCGGTAATTTTTCTATATCATTGAGCTTTTACTCATGAAACTGACCCATAGCTTTTACTATATCATTAAAAAAAAAAAAGCATAAAACCCGAGACGCGCTAATCCCATATGTTCAACAAAAAAAAAAAGCACGTGAAAAATAGAGGGCGAGAAAAACATTCCAAGCCTCCGAGTCCACGACAAACTCAACTCACATGCCATCGTGATTCACTCCTGAGTATTGGTTCCATAAAGCTAAAAATAAAAATAAAAAAAGATTTGTCAATAAGTGAGGGAAGATACTTCAATTTTAAGCCTGTGATATTAAAATATTATATGTTATGCATCCTTTTTATTAAAAAGCATGCATGACCATCTGGCCTGAGGTCATTTCGTACAATGCCTTATGTCTGCTCAGACACCTTTTCCGGCCTCAGGAAAATAAACAATACCGTCTCTTTCTCTGAGTGTTTTCCTCCATGCCTCATCGTCAACGTCATGTGGCTTGTCAGCGCATATCATTTGCATGCTTGTTTGACTAGTTGTAAATTAAAATCATGCATTGTTGCACCTTATCCTAATCCAAGGTAATAGATAATAGATAGATAAATATTAGATATAATATAAATAATATAAAGATATTAAATTGATTGAGGATTCATAATTTTCGGTTAATTAAATAAAATGTTTCATATATTTTTAAATAATATTAATTAAATTTTTTTTACATAAGATAAAATGAAATTTAAAAAAGAATTTCAAATCTTATCAAATAATTAATTATTATAATATTAATAATGAATATAATTCAATAAAAATAGACATATTCCAACTTCAAATATCTAAATCTAAATATTTTTATTAAAAAATAATAGTTATATTAAAAAATTAGTCACTTGGAGATTAATTCAAACCACAAGTAATTTTTTTAATATTTAGAAAATTATGATATGTTGCTAGATGTTATATTTCATCTTTAAATATAGATCAATTAATTTGTTTTATTTGATAATAAATTAAAATTTTTTAATTTAATTTTATTTACTTTTATGATTTATATTTGAATTAAAGTATCACTCATATTATGATTTACTTTGCTATTTCTAGAAATTCAGAGTGGTGGAAAAAAAACAAATAAACATCTTATCGAAACGAAATTGTCTGTCTCTTTCGTTGAAAATAGCACAAAATTGGTTAAAAAATTATTTTCTTACAAACAAATATTATATATATATATATGTATGTATGTATGTATGTATGTATATGAAACCGTTTGTGTTATCTATGGTTATATTACAAGACTTGTTTACAAAGAAATAGAGTATACATAAAAATAAATGGATCGCGGTATTAGGATTCATATCACCATATATATTAATTGTGATTTTTTTTCAATAAAGTCGAGAAAAGCTTGGTTATTTAAGAAGTAACAAAATATAATTTAAAATGAAAAAATATTGAAATAATGTAGATTATAGTTAATTAGATCAATTCTAGAAAAAAAAAATAACTTTCTTTTCCCGTACTTGGCTGATATCCTTTCAAAAAGATTCCCCCACCAATAAGGGAATGAGTTTGATACCTTCTAATTTTTAAAAATAATTAATTTTTAAAAATAAAAATATCATAAAAATATTTTTTAAGGAATTAAAAACCATGTCCAAGAAAATTGCGATGAAATATAAAATTTTATAATTTTTTATTTATATTATTTAAAAATATGATAATAATTATTTTAAAAAATATTTTTTATTTATAAATGTATCAAAATAATTTTTTTATTTTTTAAAAATTATTTTTAATATCAACATATCAAAATAATTTAAAAATATCAATAAATATTAATTTTAAATTAAAATACAAAAAAATTTAAATTCTTTTAAAATATAAAAATAAAAATAAAGTTAAAAAAACAAAATTAATGGACATGGTGGAGGGCCGTTTGTTTCATCACCTGCTTGGATTTGTACTTTCTAATACTGGAATGGTTTCAAGACTCGCACACTTGTAGTTATGATACAAATAATAAAGTCTATAGGTAATGACACATCTATGGTTCATATTACACTAAAACAACTAAAATATGATTAAAAAAACATAATATATTATTTTGCATTTAATATGTGCATATGTGATGAAAGATTTAGAGCATGGAGATTTTGAAATAATAATAACAAAATAAACTAAAATAGAAAATTGATTTGGAATCGTAGTAAATACTATTTGTATATTCTACATGTACTATATATTAGAGTGATACTTTCTTTTTTTTTTTTTTTATTAATTAAGTTCTTTGATAACAAAGTTGTACTATATATTAGAGTGATACTTTCTTATTTTTTTCTAATTTTTTTATTTTTTTTATTAATTAAATTGTTTGATAACAAAATTGATAGCAAATTGCTACATATTTATTATTTAGGATAAAATTTTAAAAAATAACATAAAAAATAAACTGAGAAAATAGATAGTGTTGCTATAGGTGGTGCAAAAAGTACAATTTAGTCCTTCAATTTTTAAAATTAGATCCTTTTGGTCTATTATGTTTTTATAAATTCGGTTTTAGTATAAAATTGTATTTTTATTATTTTTTAGTTTCTAGATTAATAAAGAGAGAGAAAATTTCATCACATTCCAACATAGAGAAAGAAAGTCGTTGTTTTTACAAATCTTAATTATCATATTGGTTAATTTTAGTGTTTATAAATTTTATTTGATGAAAGTAGTTTGATGGTGGTTATTTAGAACCTTAATATTATCTAAAATAGCATATCAAAGCCAAGAAATGTTTTTTTAACCTGGTTTGTTTTCATGTTTGGAGATTTTTTTGGGTTTTTAAGTTGATAAATTGGTTTGTTTATAAAGTGTTTTTTATTTTTTTTTGTTAAAATAAGTTTTTATTAGTCTGATTATAAATTCAAAAATACTTTATAGTTTCTTTTTATTAGTTTATCTTTGTATCGTATTACATCCTAATTATTCAATAAAAAAAATACTTGACTGTAATTTTTATTTTTTATGTAGAAATTATAATAAATTTTAAGTTGTTTTTAATAAATGCATTTTAGGAGCTTTATTTAACTCTAACAATTGTAACTCAATTTTTTTGCAGGACCATCAAAGAATAAGTGAGTTGATATACCTAACAAATATATGTAATATCCATAAAAGTTTTAACCCAATTTAATATATTCAATCTGCTTATGTCTAAAAAAACAAAATGAGTTGGATTTATATTGTGTAAAATAAATTAAGTTAAATATAATTACCAATGGTAATACTTGATGGTAACTTTTTAAATTAGATGTTTCTTTCTAAAAAAATAAAACATTAAATATCTAACTTTTTCTGCTTTTTTTTAAATAAAAATCACCATGATATCAGATAATATCAATTAAAATAAAAATAGAAAGCATAAAATAATAATAATATCAAATTACATCATCAATAACCTATAGGCCAGAACCATAACAATTGAACCATGTCCTAACTCAAAAATCTAGGGGCAAAATTTGGATATAATCTCTAGCCTCTCGAGCTAGATTCTAGCTTGAACTCCAAGCATGATTCATGCTCATTTTCGACTTTTGAACCCCATTTAACTCTCAAAATATATAATTATAGAAGGGGTGTTCAATTCTTGTGATCGAATCTTCATTATCAAATTCAAGAGCAGCAAGACAAGCTAGAGAGAAGGGATTACATGAAATAATTAGGTAAATCATCCGAGAGAATGGGATTGAGGTTAAGAGGGGTGAAGACTCAAACAACAAATAAAAGGGAAAACGTGTCTTAGGGTTTAATTAAATTTCTATTCAATACCCTTTTAGCTGGGTCAAATATGGTTGAATCAATTTCAGTTTTAAAAAATCGAAACTAAAATGAATCAGATTTTTTTAAATTAATTTTTTGATTTTTTTTAGTTTGGTTTTTTTAATTCTTTTTTAAGTGGGTGGTTTTTTTAACACCAATAAACAAGTTTTCATATCAATTTTTTTTAATTTTAAAAACGAAAATAAAAAAATAAGAAACGAAAACAATAGCAAGCATCACTTCAAATTTCAGATGTTTTGGTGTACCGGTACGATTCAGTGTGTTTGGCATCAGTGTCACAAATGACCCGTAGGCCGAACCCACCAATGGGAATAAACAAAAGAAAAAACCAAACCAATTCTCTTAAAGAACGTAAACAAGAAAGAGAAGAGAATAAATCTCTTGAGGTTTCTCTTTCTTTCCCTACAAGATAAGAAAATTCTTTTTTACAAGACTCGATCACTCCTTGCTTGACAAGTCATAGAATCATCATGTGGCTAGAGATCATCTGTTGTCTGATCGTTTACATGTTGTTCAAATGCTTCTTCTCCGACGATGACGACGTTTTAGAGGTCGAATCCTCTGACACCAATGCACTTTTCAACGTAGCTAACAAGTACGTACCTGTAACTATCTGCATATAGTAATTTTCAAAATTGTTTCTTCTTCTTCTTGTTCTTAACATTAATCATCATCATGAGCTAATTGGGTTTTTATTTTTATTGTGTTTTTTCTTTGAATTGAAGGCTTGAAAAGCTATATGGAGGAAAGGTTTATATAGGGCTCCGAATTCCGGATGCTGACACTGGTTCAAGGCAAAATATAGATATAGTTCTTGTCACCAAAGGGTAAATGAAAATTTTAAGATAAAATATGTTATGAAGACAACAAGAATTATTGTTTTGATTTAACTTTACAGTGAGGCAGTGGTGATTTCTGTCAAGAATTTCTCGGGATTTGTATCAATCAGTGGTGATGGCAGCTGGGTTTGTGAAGGCGAAGGTAGGCACAAACCAGAGCGTCATCCTGATCCTGTAAGTTTTTCTTTCTTTCTTTCTTTCTTGGATACTTAATTACTCTGATACATGATTATAATAGCTTTCATGTTGGGGAAAAGTAATAAGGCCATTGCCCCAAGAGGCCCAGCATTGAACTTCTGTTGATATTTGCGGCATGAGGGGTTAAGAATGCGATTGATCCTTCTTTTGAAAATGTAACCATTTAACCAAAATGGGATAAAAAATCCAGTTACTGGAGCTTACTTCCCATTTTCTCCCTGAATTATGGATTCCAATAGACAGAAATAAATTCTCTTGGAAGCACTGGTGACTTTGAGTGATTGAATAAAAAACCAACTATTGCTGCCTAGTCCAATCTTTTTTTGTTTCCTGACAAAAAATGGAACAAGAAATTGTATTTAAGAATAGATGAAGAATAAATACATTATAGAAAATGAGTGACTGTCCAAAGCTTTTGCAATGAACTATTACGAAAGCAACTATGCTCTAGACTCGACCCTAATGTATTTATTGCCAAACCCATGAGACACGAGCGTTGTTTTATTCAATGTTATACAGACAACACAATTAACTATGTCTTAAAATGAAGAGAAAAAATACAATAAAATCAGCAGATAAACTTCTTGATTGATTGCATAACCGTTGCAGCACAGCAGCATCGTTATGTTTTTGTTAGTTTTGTTGTCATAATAAAAAAATCTAATGCAACCAGCTGATCTAGCTTCTGCAACATCTTTAATCACTGGCATTGTATTTATTTCTATGCTTACAGTTTCATGTTCCTTTGCTATAGTTGCTTGGCAAGCTAATTTTTGGATACTGCTGTTGCTCCAAAATAATATCTTGTATATTTGTTTCTGGATATAACAGAGTATGGATTTTTGACTCCAGTGCAAAAACATGAACTTGTTTTTGGCCACTGCTTGATCAGAATATTATTCTCTTCTTTCTCAGGTGGAGGAGACTAAAAAGCAAGCTTCAATTCTTGAATCATATCTTGAGCAAAGGGGAGTTGCCCTACCTGACGGATATTTGTCTTGCAAAGTTGTACTTCCCAATCCTAAGTTGCAGTATGTGTTCAAAACATATGTATTATAAGCTATGTAGTTTAGTTGACTCAAAATGAAAAACTAAATGATTGAAGTATATACCCAAATTGAAGTGCACGTACACACATACACACACTCACACTTCTGGCCTGATAAGGAGCAAGCCAGATGAAATTGTTTGTGCATTTGGTTATGTTTCTAATATTATGCTTTTTTGAAAAGTCCTCTTGAATAAAGAAACTACAGTAACAAATTCTAGATTGGACTCTTGTTTAGGTTTAAGTGGACTGGAAGAGTTTATAAATTGAGATTGCACGAGTTAAAGTACCATTTTTGTTGTTAGTAGCAACATAAGATAACAATCTTGTCTTCCAGTGTGAAAAACTTTTGTTCTCTGATGACATTGTTTTTCTGTTGTGCTCCTTGGTCTCTACCTGGACCCGATGAAAAAAAATGGGACCACTTATTATGGACTTGTTGATTTTAAAACAGGTTGTTTCTGTCATACTTTTTCATTCATGAGTATTTGGATATACCTGTGTTTTCTTGTATCTGAAACATCTCTTCGCAGTACAATCCATTCAGGCTATTTTCCACCCGAGGTTATTACCCATGACCAATGGGTACTTCTGAAACCTGAACCAAAAGGCCTATTTTCTGGTTGGAAAAAGGGTTCCTTTAGTGGTGGAAAGAAGGAGATGCAGGAATCTATACATCAGAAACTCAACTTCACTCTCAGCACAGCTCCTGTGTGGGACAGGTTTGCTGCTCTGTGCCTCAGATTTTTATATACCTGCTCTCTGGTTATGAGTGCATTCTTTCTGTATTGTTGTGCATTTGGTCAAAAAGTGATTTCCAGCAGCTTGGATTAACATCATTAAACATACCAGGTCCTTGTGAAAAAAGAGAGGAAAGAAGAGTATCCGGCTTTCAATATTTAATCATTTGTGTTATAAGTTCTTTGATGCTTTCTGGGCCAAGATTGTCAAGTAGGGACTAGGGAACTAGAAAAGTACAAAGAGAGGTGGTCTTCAACAGTAATCATTCTAAATGTTCTACTGGTTCACAAATTGCTAGATTCCACACCCTATGATTTCTTAGGCTCATTGAATTACGGTTAAACTGATGCTTGAGCCAGGAACATTGTAGTGATGCAGCTGATTGTGTGTACTGTGTCCCTAAGAAAGGAGGTGAATTTGTGTTCTTATGGTGGTCTGTTTTTTACGCTGCATGTCCCTTCCCATTCATCCAAGTTGAAGCCATAAACTACAATTCTCATCAGTTTGATTTTTCTGTGAGTTATGCTAAGCTGTGATTTACACTTGACACAAAAGAACTATTTCCAATTCTATGCAGGCTGGAGCTTAAGGGTAATAAATATGTCCTAGGAGAATTTCTGGAGTTCAAAGGAAAACAAGCAGATACCATGGCTTTGAGGAACATCAAAAGATCGAAAGTTGGTCGTTTAATCATTCAAAAGACAAGCATGTTTGGACTAGGTAATCACTCCAACATTTGCTCTGCTTTTCTATTTATGGAAACAATATTGATTGTTAATGAATATTTTTTTTCAAAAGGAACCTGAGTAATGCTTATTGTATTAATTCATTAATGATTAAGATTTTTAGGTATTGAGGAGTTTTAAGAAGAGTCCAAGATAGTAGTTTAGTAAATCAAATATAAACCCTTGGATCAAACTGAAATTTTAACAGCTGATTTTGAAGGCATCATTTTTTTTGAGTTAAAATTTCATGATGATTAAAGAACCGAAAAGCTTTCAAATAAGGTTTGGAAGTTACTGCGTGAGATTGTTTTTATTTACATTGTTGTATTTGGATTCTTTTTTAAATTTAGATTAGGATTTTTTATTTTACTATTTAGAAATACTAATGCTAAATGAAATAATTTCCTGGATTTGAAGTCTATCTAATATAAACAAAGATGTCTAGTTGATTTTAAGAACATTCAGATTATTAAGATTTTTTTATAAAAAATAAAATATTTTCTCTAATTCCGCAATAGTGATAGGGTTATAACATTCGGGTCCGAGAACCTTAATGTTTTTGCACGCTATAATTATTTAGAAATTTTGGTTTGGAATTAAATAAAACAAACTGTAAAATGCCATCTGAGTAGTCTTAAAAATTCCAGTAGGAACTTACTAGTGACATAAATTGATCCAGACAAGCTAAGACGAGTGTGAGCAGTCATAAGCACAACACTTAAAGGATTGTGAATAGTTTTGTGCTATAGTACTGCTGTTGCATGATGAGTAGCGAGTTCTTAAACAATCTCATACGAAGAGACCGTTAAGTATTGTGGTTTTATTTTGGTCTCATGTATAACTGGGTTTTAAATTTTGTTTTTGTAAAAGCTAAAATAACATGCTTTTTATTTATGAAACCCGCTTTTCATATATTTTACATGCAAAAATCTATTTCAGAGCAGTTTTAACTAAATATGTTTTTTTTTTCCTTCTAAATTACAACCTCAATAACTCATCATCCGGACTTGCTTAACACTCACACCCTACCAAAACAATGTTTTTGTTTAACTGTCCTTTTTCGTACTTCCTCTGTATAGTTAAGCTCATCCCTATTATAGTAACCAAAGCTCTATATAGCATTTGTAATTTTTATATGGAACAAGCATACATTCTGACAACCTATGCCCTTTTGCTTGTTTTTGCCTTTTCACTTCCCTGTTCAAAACTCAACACCTGCAGCCAATTCAAAGCTCCAGGTTTTGTACTCTGGCCGTGATTATCGAAGTGAAGGGGCTTCAGCTTCTGAGTTGAAGGAAGAAACCGTAAGATCAAGTACGGAGGTTCTGTTTCAGCCACAGAACTCCGCTAAAGTCCGCAAATTCAAGCTTTCTTCAATCATCTCCATGTCACTAAGTGCCTAAACATGCTCATGCTGAATACAAGTTATGCATTTCTGTGGAAGCTATTGGTCATAGGCTATGATGTCACCTTATGACTGCCTCCTTACGTGCAGGTGTGAAATTATAGTTCATATTGTAACTAAAACAACTAAATTATGACAAAAAAAATAATATTATTTTGCATTTAATATGTGCTTATGTGATAAAAGATTTAGAGGCATTGAGATTTCTAAATAACAATTACAAAATAAACTAAAATAGAAAGGTGGTTTGTAACCGTGCTAATTACTATTTGCACATTTTTAATGTAGCGGTATTTTTTTATTTTGACCTTTTAACTTATTTTTCAATCGATTGAGTCCTTTAACAGCCAAATTAATAGCCAATTACTTTGTATTTATGGGCTAGGGAAAAAATTGAAAAAAAAGAGAATCAACTTAAAAAATAAACTGAAAATAGATGATGTTTTTAAAGTTGGTGTGAAAAGTATAATTTAATCCTTTAATTTTTAAAATTAGATCCTTTCAGTTTTTTATGTTTTTATAAATTCAGTTTTGATACAAAATTTTATTTTTATTATTATTTTAGTTCCTAGATTATTAAAGAGAAAAAATTTCATTGCATTCCAACATAGAAAGAGAAAGTTGTTTTCACAAGTCTTAACTATCATTGGTGAATTTAGATGTTCATGTGTTTTATTTGATAAAAGTAGCTTGATAGTGGTTGTTTAGAACCTTAGGTTTTGTTTATTTGCAGGAAAGTTGTTTTCTTTTAGAAAATAAATTCCTGAAAAAATGAATTCCTGAAAAGTGAATTATTTTCTAATTTTTGGTAGTGTTATGTAAAACAAATTGGAAAACACTTTCCAATATTTAGTTATGTTATGAAAAATAAATTAGAAAATAACTCATTAATATTTTATTTTTCTCAAGTTTATTAAAATAATGAGGAACAAATCTTACAAATTTAAAAGTTGAATAAGAATGAAATTGAAAAAAATATAATTTCATAAATTATCTCAAATAAAATAAATAATAATTAAAATAATAAAGATCAAATTTAAAAAATAAAAAAAATAAAAGATGAAGAAATCAAAATAATAATAATTAATATTTCATAAATTATTTCAAATAAAACAAGTAACAATCAAAAGAATAAGGATCAAATTTGATAGATAAAAAATTTCAATAAAAAAATAAGATAGATAACAAATTTCAATAAAAAAATAATAGGAGAAAAGCAAATAACAATTATAAAAATGAGGATCAAAGTTAATATAAAAATTAAATTTTAAAGAAATGAAATTGAAAAATAAATATTCAAAACAAAATATATATAACAATCAAAACTTTGAGAATCAAATTTGATATAATCAACAAATAATGACATTTCTAAATTTTTCACAACTTCTGGAAAGGGTTTTCCGCCCAAATTTTCTAGGTAAACATTTTCCTGAAAACCAAGCCAAATTTTCCTTTGATTGGAGTGTTTTTCATTGATTAACTTTACTAACTGCAAACAAACAAAAGAAAGTTTGGAAAGTAATTTCTCGGAAACTACTTTCCAGAAAACAAACGCATAAAAAAAAACATTTTCTTGAAAACCAATCCAAATTTTTCTTTGACTGAAAAGTGTTTTCCGTTAACCAGATAGTGTTTTTTATTGACTGTAAAGTGTTTTTCGTTGACTGAAAAGTATTTTCGTTGACCAACTTTTTTAATGGCAAACAAACATAGGAAAATTCGAAAAGTAGTTTCCCGAAAATTACCTTTTGAGAAACAAACATGGCCTTAATATTACCTAAAATAGCAGATTGAAGTCAAGGAAGAAAAATGGATCCTAATTTGTTTTCATGTTTTGGGACTTTTATAGATTTCTTAAGTTGAAAATCGGTTTCTAGGTATTTTAAGGGTATTTATGAGGTTTTTTTTATATATATAGTTAAAAAGGGTTACAAAATGGGTTTTTCTTAATTAAATCATAAACTCAAAAGATCATTATTCATTAATGCTAGAGTTAGAAATATTAACACTAGGATTAATAATAAAGTTGAACCTTAATATTTACTTGCGCAAGAGTTAGGAATAATAGATCTTTCGTAAACAATACTTATCAATGCTAATGTTGGAAATGTTTTAATTAGTTTAATATTCATTAATACTAGAGTCTAAGAATATTATAGGTAGACCATCAATAGCATAACACAACAAACCCTTAATAATTTAAGATAAAATTAGCAATGTAATTTACTTCAGATATAACATTTTAGTTTCATTTAGTGTAATCAATCTTGTAACATTTAATCTTTGCAAATTAATGTTTTCCTCTTTATTTTTCAAAGGTCACCATGATATTGGATAGCGATGATCATAATAAAAATAAAAAGCATGAAATAATGATAATATCAAATGACATCAATTTGTACCTAGAGGCCATAAACACCATAATCGAACCATGTCCTAACTCGAAAACCTAGGGGCTTTAAACCAAATCTTGGATATAGTCTCGGGCCTCTCGAACTAGGTCTCAGCTTGAACTCTAAGATTCATGTTTATTTTTAACTTTTGAAACCTCATTTAACTCTCAAAATATATAATGAAGTATGGGTATTCATGATCCAGTTCAGTCTGATTTTGACTATCAAAGCCAACTAAAATTGGAAATAATAATTCTTGAAAAATATAAATTGAATCAAGCTAAAAATACAAATAACTTGAGCATTCTAGTTTCATACAACATTTAATGAAACAAAAAAAAAATTACAAAGTAAGAAAAATCCCATAAACACCCATAAATTCAACAAGAAAATCTGAAACAAAACAAAAAAAAACTCTTCATTTTTTTAACAGATAAGTGGTGACCATGAAATGGCTTGCTAATAAATTATGTCTTTGTTTTGACTTGACAAGTATAAGACTTTTAAACCCACAAGCCAAAGATAAAATTCCCAAGTCTAATAGAAACAATTAGACAAATGACTTGTACGCAAATAATATAAATGATTATTGTAATGGTTGTAGAAAATATCAAACTCATGTTACCATGGACTTGAGTAAATATCAAGATCAGGCGTTTGAGATTTAGCAATCATATTAGACTCATATTTTTTAGGTTTGACAAACATGTCAAACCCAAGTTATTTGAGCTTGATAACAAAGTCAGATTCATGTATTTAAATCTAGTAATTATGGTAGACCCATAATGGTTGGATATGACAACCAAACCAGCCTAAAGTGCCTGGGTCTGGCCATAAGACCAGACCCACGACACTTGGGTTTGGTCACCATACCAAGTCTAGGTGCTTGAGTATAATATTTATGCTAGATTTGCGTCCTTGAGTATAGTAAAAATGTCGAACTCAAGCTTCTTATAAGAAGACATTGTCATTATGGATTCACTTTTTAATATCATTAATTTTTTAACTAAGAAATGAAAAGATATATGTTTGTGTTTAATATAATAAATTAAAAAAATATACTACTTAATAAATTAATTTTGAATGATAATTAAAAATAAGAGTAAAAAGTCAATTTTCTTAGGTAAATAGTAAAAGATAGATATAAATACAAATATTTTATTTACATCATTTTTTTTATTTTATACATTTTTTTAATCTATCTTGAAGATTTACTATGGTTGCTAAATATATATTATTTTTTTTGTTCTTATAAATGCATAATACAAATATAACTCTTCAACTTTAAATTTGGTAGGAAAATAAATTATGTATAAATTACAATAAAATAAACTTTTGGAGATACCAAACAAAAAAATTATTTTTTAATAATTAAACTAAGAGAATATTAATTAAAAATCAAATTAAAAGGCTATCTTTTCTCTCCCCTGTGCCTGGTGATAATACCAGACTAAAATGCTTGACAATTTTCTAAATATAAATAATAATTTATATAAAAATGACATAAACTTCCTAACATGCAATCTTATTATTATTGAAACTTAAAAGTAATTTTATATTTGAACTATATCAATAAAAAAAGACGATAAAACTTCTCAACACATACATATTTTTTTCTAAAAATATAATTTTATCTTTATTGTTTATTTTTTTAAAAGATAAAAGAAACTCCCAACTCAAAGTTAAAATTTTATTTTCGAAAGGACATATTATTATCTATTTAAAAAACTTGAACAAACCATTTCATTTTAAATTATTCTTTCAATACTAAATATATCTATGAAAAAGATAACCTTATCTCTAATTATATACCTAACAAGTTTCTTCAACAATGGTAATTTCATCATTACACGACTGCAGTCTAATACTAATCTATATCTAAGTGAGAGAGACATTCATCCCTTTTAGTAAATGCTGTAATTGTAATTTATGTCCCTTCTACGAAACTTTGTTCCAAATCAAACCTTTTCCTCTTCTCTACCTAATCCAATGCTCAAGCTGAGGGAGAGTGGTCGAACCAAGACCAGCCTAGCGTACAACAGATCTTGTGATCGAATCTTCAATATCAAAGTTAAGAGCAGCAAAACAAGCTAGTGATTAGGTAATCATAAGAGAGAAAAAGTGTCTTAGGGTTTAATTAAGTTTCTATTTTTATCCTTTGTATTTTTTTGATATTCTTGATTGGCTGGTTTTTTCAACACCCCTGAAGGATACTATAAAAAATAAACAAGTTTTCATATCATGTTTTTAAATTTAAAAAACGAAAATAAAAAATAAGAAAAACGAGAGCAAACATCACTTCAAATTTCAGATGTGATCTGTTTTCTTTTGACCTCGTACGATTCAGTGTGTTTGGCATCGCAAACCCACCAACGGAAATAAACTAAGGAAAAGACCAAACCAATTTTCTTAAAGATCGTGAAAAAGAAAAAGAAGAGAAGAAATCTCTTGAGGTTTCTCTTTCTCTCCCTACAAGATAAGAAAATTCTTTTTTACGAGACTCGAACACTCCTTGGTTGAGTCGTAGAATCATCATGTGGCTAGAGATCGTCTGTGGTCTGATCGTTTACAAGCTGTGCAAATGCTTCTTCTCCGACGCTGACGACGTTTTAGAGGTCCAATCCTCTGACACCAATGCACTTTTCAACGTTGCTAACAAGTACGTACCTGCATCTATATGCACATAGTAATTTTCAAACTTGTTTTTTTCTTCTTCTTGTTCTTAACATTAATCACCATCAATAGCTAATTGGTTTTTTTATTTTTATTGTGTTTTTTCTTTGAATTGAAGGCTTGAAAAGCTATATGGAGGGAAGGTTTATATAGGGCTCCGAATTCCTGATGCTGACACTGGTTCAAGG